AGCTGCGGGAGAGGGCTGTAATTGAACATCCACACTCGGACACAGATGAGCAGTTCCCATTATTTACTGGTGTATAAACATTCCTGAGCCAGTGTAGAGAGCAGGCATTGAAATCCCCACGCCTCTGGGCAGAAATGCCTACAGGATTAATAATAAAAGGCAACTGTGCCTCCCTCTCTCCTTTTCTTAAATCCTTCGGGGTCAGCAGGTGCTGATGTGGCCTCAGCTGTGCCCTCAGGGCTGCAGTAGGGAAAGGAACAGGCAGAGTCACTGCTGGCCACCGGGTTTTGATGGTCAGCACCACCTTCCACGTGTTGGTTCTGCTCTGAATCCCAGCCTGTCCTCTGGACAGCCCCAAGTTTTTCCCAGCTGTTGAGCAACCCTGACAGGAATCACTGTGCCAAACAGTTTGCATCCCAATGACAGTTTTTGTCGGATCCATGGCCTTCCTGGCTGTTTTTCCCCTTCCTGAGCCATTGTGGCATGGGGTGACAAGGAGGAGTGAACCTCCATCCAGAAGCAGCCACGTTTCTGCAGTGAAGAGAAGCAGCTGTTTCTGTTCCTGCAGCTGCATGTCCCCAAAGTTTGTGTCAGCAGTTGCACAGTATTTAAAATAAGTATGGGAGTTATTCTGGGGCCTAAACTACCAGCTCATGGTCCTGTGCTGGACGTATCACATCAGATGTACAGATGGTATAGCTGCAAATTCCACTTGAAAAAAGTATTGAAACACCTGGTGCTCAGTTTGCTGAGATTTTTCCCTTTTTTTCTGTCAAATGCTGCCAGTTCTCTTCCCCTTCCCAACCTCTCCCATATACATTTTCTCTTTTTGCATTTCAATCCCTAGGAGAACAGTAACATGTTAAGCCCTGGGCTGGGGAGGGTTTCAGAAAAGCAGAGCCATAAAAGCACAAGAAATGGCACCTTTCCCATCCCCAGGGTGACAGCAAGAGCTTTTCTGACACACAGGATCAGATCAGCTAGCATTTGGTGATCTCTTTCCACTAAGAAACTAATTTTGAAGAGGGGCTGCCTGCAATGGAAGGAAAGCAGAGGCTCCTCCAGGCCTGACGCAGCAGCAGCAGAGGATGAAGGTAAAGTTCTCGCTCCCATCAGCGCTCTCGTCACCCCCGGGACAGCTTGCACCAGCTCCTGTCACGGCCTGGGCTGTCCTCCTACACCCTTCACTCTCCTTGGAAAATATTCACGTCACATTTTGTTCAGGCTCCAAACACATTTTTTTAATCTGTCAGCACTGCAAGTTCACTCCAGCACCTAAAAACCAAACTGTGCCCTGTCTGCTTCATCTATCATTGCTGTCCATAAAGGTGGGGAGGCAGAGCCCAGCTGAAGCTGTTATTGATGTCATGTGTGCCCAGATACAGCATCTGCTGCTGTGCCTGGCGAGCCTGAAAACGACAAAACCTGGGTTATGTTGAACAAATGCCCTGGTAGAGTAAACAAACATTTCTACTGCACAGGACATGTCCCAAGTCAGAGAACAGGGTGAAGCTTTATGGAGGGTTTTTCATCCTCCAAGTTTTGCAGAGGGACCCTGTAACCAGTTCTCCTCAGCTGTCCTTCCCCACTCTCAGCCAGGTCTGCCAGGGTGCTCATCCTCATGGATGCAGCTGCAGGAGAGTGACCAGCCCCTGCCTTCCGCCCTGGCCATGGGGAGAGGGCTTGGCCTGGCCCTGCTCTGCTCCCAGGGGATGCTCTGGCTCGGTAACAGCTCAAGGACCAGTTCATTGCCAGGAGGACAGAGAGCATCAAGGACAGCGGCTCTAACTGTGCTCTGTCCTCAGCCATGTGATGTGGAGAGTGAGGGAGGAGGGGAAGGTGAGTTCACCTCCATGCAGCCCTTCAGAGCAGTCTGCTGCATGGCCCTGGCACTGCTGCCTGCCAATGCCCTGGCAGCTCCTTGTCCTGGAGTGCCCAGCTCAGCCAGCAGCGCTCTCAAACCTGACCTGCTCCTGCAGAGCCCCGTGGGATCTGTCTCTGCCTGGGGTTCTCCAGTCCTGCTGCAGGTGCTCCTCCACCCTTGGGAGAGACAGACCTCTCTGAGGGAGATCGTGCAAATCCCGAGCCTGAGCTTTCTTAGAAGTGAGCTCCTGAACACCTCGGGGTAATACTTTTCCCCCCTTGTATCAGTTTTCCCTCTGATGTGGCCCAGAAGAAGAGCAGTCTCCTGAGGCAAGCAGTGACCAGCCCTTTGCATGAGCAAGAGGCAGCAGAGTTTTGCCTACTGCCTTCCCCTGCTGCCCCAGCCTGAGCCCCAAACACACCCCCAGTGCAGGAGCAGGCAGCACACACCCCAAAAAGGGGCTCTGAAAGAGCTGCAGATGTGCCCAGGCTCATCCCTCCGAGAGCACTGCCATCCTTGCAAGGTTTGGGATCCTTGGGCCAGAGCTGGAATTGTCTCCTTGTCTCCTTGTCTCTCAGAGCTAAATCTCAGAGTGAGTACTGCACAACCAAACCCTCATTTGCTGTGGCAGCTTGGCCCCCCAGGCCCTGGGCTCATGAGGACTCTGTAAATAATAGGTTTTATTAGTTTGCCGGTTAAACTGAAATACCAGAAGCGATAAAAAAACATCTTGAATAAAACATTGCATCTCCTGTTTAAGTTTCGAATCCCATGACAGTAGACCTCAAATCAAATGTCTCTTCAAAGTGGAAAATAGGGCCTGCTCCCTCCCAAAACATAAGAGCACAACATTTTGTCCTTCTTAGCGTTAGGACTGAGGGTGCTTTTCCTGGTCAGAACCAATCACGGTGAATTTGAAATGCATTTTTTCCTAGCTGAGCCTGTGCTGCTGATAAATAAGGTATTTGAAAAGCAGCGCCCTTGCTCTCCAACACCATCAACAGGCTTCATTCTTATCCTTGGTTCCAGGGAAAGACTCAGCACTAGTTACAGAATGAAACCCCTGGAAATGATGAAGACCAGAGAAGACAATTGCTTGGAAGCTCCTGGTGCATAAAACTGCCTGGAAGGTGTCCCCAAAACAGCATCATGAGGGGATGCTGTGATTCCCTAACATTCCCCAGCTCATCTCCACTGCTCCAAGCACAGCTCTCCCCAGATCTCTCAGTTCTCAAGTAGCAGAATGGGGTAGTCAAAAGAAACCAGTCCTGTGAATTTCGCCACATACCACTTCACATCCTGCGTCTTGAGGGGGAGCTGAGAGCACATATATGAACCCCTGGATTTTCTGTGGTCTGTTTGTGACCAGAATCCTTGACAGCTACATCTTCCCTGCTGCTATTCTTGCACCTTTCCCAACTTCAGCTTCATCTGCATCCCTGAAGAACTTCTGGAACAATCCAGTGGCTTGCTTTGAAGCTTAAAGAGCTCTTTCCACCTTCACTGCAGCTTTGATATTCATTATTTACTCTTTTGACATGTGTTTCCTGTAAACTCTGCCATCCAGAGCTGGCTTCTTTGCATGAAGTAAAGGCAACATCATCTGTAGCTGCTTCGTTCCAGGGAAATGCCATCTCGGAGCCCTGCTGCCTGCAGCTGCCTCTTGTGGCTTTGGGGCCGCTCAGGTCTCACACTCGAGGGCTTAAGGTGGTCATTGCAGCAATCAGCAAGGGAGAGAGCCTCGAAAAAACACCCAGGTGTGCTGCTCTTACTCCTGCTTGTGCTCCTGTGGCATCCCCGTCGCCACCGAGCCTGGTCCTGGCTGTGAGGCACTGGGTGTGCCTGGGGAACGGGAATCTCCCTGCCCTGGACAAATGAGGCAGCAGCACCAGAAGGCTGCAGACGGAGAGCAGAGGAGTGATTTGCCCCTGCTCGTGTGGGGAAGGCTGTGACAGGCTCAGCAGTGAGAGAAGGGGACTCAGTTCTCAGTAAGAGGGATGGTCCTGCTCTAGTCCAGAGGAGCTGGATTTGCCATCAGAATTTCCAGACCTCTGGGAGATGCAGGACCAGGACCTCTCTGGAGACCAGCTCCTGCACCTCAGCCTAAACAATAAACCTCCTGCACTAAACAATAAGGGACAATTATTGCTACCTCGTGTAGGTCTAACAAAGTTTGTTCTGAGCAACCCTCACCCAAATCTCGCAAGGAAGGAATCTCTTACTCCTGTTTGCCAGTCGGATGTCGGCAGAGTAAAGAAATGACCGAGTGCATCTTGGCAACCCCTGAAGGCAAAGAGCGACAGGCTGGGAGCCCCCAGCCCACCCAGCTGTCCCACAGCTCCACCCCACACTCCTTCCTGGCTGTTTTTGCGGGACAGCAGCCCCAACAGGTGGGAAAGGACCCTCTCCCGGCTGCATCTCGCCGACAGCTCAGCCCCGCGGGGCCTGACGCCTTGCGTAATTTAACAATAATTACCCACTCTTTCTTTTTTTAGACAAACACCCCAACTGTTGTGCACGGGAAGGAAAAAAAAAAAAAAAAAAAAAAAAAAAAAAAAAGCACAAAGAAAAAATTGCTACTTTAAAGGGAAAAGGGAGAGACAAAGGCTTGCCGCCTTGCGTAATTTAACAATAAAGCAAAGCAAGTTCTTTTTTTAAAAACCCTGTATAACTGTTGTGCACGGGAAGGAAAAAAAAAAAAAAAAAAAAAAAAGAAGAGGCGAGCATTAAGAGAAATCAAACGCCTTGTTACGCAGAGGGGGAGCGAGAGCTCCTCGCACCAGCTGACGATGCTCGCTCCCCGGCAGCAGCGCGGCTCCGGCAGATGCGCGGGTGCCTCTCGGCGCTCCCCCCCGCCGGCGCTCAGCCCCGGGGGTGCGGGGGAGGCCGGCCCCTGCGCGGGGAGGCAGGAGCCGCTGCCAGCCCCTCCCCGCCGCCGACCGGAGAAGAGATGCCCAAGTTTGCGGAGCGCGGCGGGCGGCGCGGAGCGCGGGGCCGAGCGGGCGGCGGCGGCGGGGCCGAAGCGCGGCGCAGCGGGCAGCGGGGGGGCCCCGTCGCCGCCCCCGGGCCGGCCCCGCGCTGAGCCCCGCCGGGCGGGCGCACGGCCGCCGCCGCCCCCCGGGCCGCCGCTCGCCTCGCAGAGATGCCCCGCACGGTGCTGCTGCTCTGCCTGGCCCTCGGGCCGGTCCTGCGCGCCAGGTGAGTGTCCCCCCGCCCCCCGCCATCCCTCGCGATGTCTCCTCCCTGCCTCAGTTTACCCGTCGGGGCAATGGGAGGGGAGGGGGTTGCAGTCGCAGCGCCTCTCCCCACGCTCGCCGCGCCGGCTCCAGCGGGGGTTTGGCACCTCCGTGCCCCCAGCTGTTCCTTCCAGCGGGTCCCGTCGCGGCAGCACCGAGTGCCTGCGTGTCCTCTGCACCCCGGGCTCCCCCTCGGCATGCCGAAATCGGGAGGACATCCCGTTTTCCACCTCGCCATCACCCCGCTGGCTAATCCTGCCGGGGGCAGAGCCTCTTTCCGGGGGTGCCCGGAGCAGGAACAGAGAGAGCCCGACATCTCCGGGGAGCTCCATCCATCACCGGGGCACTTCAACGTGGAGTCAGGCTGGGTGGGAAGGAGCTTACATCCCCTTCCCTGTACTCCATCCCTTCGAGCCCCGAAGCCCCCGCAGGGCATGTAGCCTGGAGGCGGGAGGGCAACGCGGGCTCCTGCCCTGCCCTGCTCCACAGGTTGGCCGCAGGTCTCGGCTGTGGGTGGCCGATGCCAGCCCGGTGCCGGGCCGGTGCCAGCCCGGTGCCCCGGCGAGGAGGCAGGGCGGGCAGGTGGCAGTGCTTTCCCAGGGCCAGCCGTTCGTAGCGCTTTTCTGTAAACAGCGATGAAAGGGCCCACGCACAAGGGGGTTTCAAGTTTCTTTTTCCCTTTTTTTTTTTTTTTCCTACAATTCCTAGCCCTACTGATGAGTTTAATGGCTAGATGGGGAAAGAACATGTTGTCAGCAGATTGTTACCCCCAGGGCTTGGGGGAAGAGGGATTTTACTGGCTGAAGCTAATTGGCAGAATAAGCCGCCTTAAAGCCGATCAAATCCCATTACAGATGCAGTCAGGGACAAGGAGCATGAATCCTGCTACTAATGGTCTGCCCTGCCAGTGCTTCTCGACCCCGGGGGTGGGCACAAAGTCCATCCCTGCCATGGTCCTGTATGACTTGGCCTCCCCAGGGTCGAGGAGCAAGAGCTGCCCCACTGCTCGTACCCTGGCACCAAACTGCCCGGGAGGAGACCCGTGCAGGTGCCAGGGGGCATTGGAGGGCTGAGAGGGGGATGGATCCGTGGTGGTCCCAGTTCCTGTGCCCCACCGTCCCTGCTGTGCATTGCCACGAGCCCTGCATTTCGAGAGGGTGAGTTGTGAGCTGCAAGATCACACGGAGGAGCAATTAAATCATATATTCACATACCCTTGAGCAGGAATGTTCACCCCATAGCTGGCCCAGCCTCTCTTCTGCCCAGTGCCTAAGTTTGCCTCTACCCTGAGCCTTGCTTTGCCAGGAGCAGTGTCTGTGGATTTTGGGGGGCGGGCATGATGGAGTGGGAGAGGAATCCTGCGAGAGGACAAAAAGAGCAAGTTATATCAGGGTTTTGCTCTGCATTCACTGCATTTTTCCTGGATGCAGTTGTGGAGGGTGAATCTCCTCTTCCCTATTGCTCATGGTAGGTGCTGGGGTGAGGAGCTCTGCTCATGTGAACAGAGCTGTGTATGTTTGCTCTTCTCCCATACAAGCAGCAAGACCCTTCCCTTCCTCTGGTGCTGGAGCAGGCTGGATGCTTTTTGCCAGGTGATTCAGCACTCCCCAGATGGTACCCCCAGCACAGAGGCTCATGCACCAGCGTTTCCCAGGGCACTGCCTGGGCTGGGACCAGGGCAGCCAACTCTGAGCCCTGAAGGCAAGATCCCTGCACAGCATCACACCAGATGCTGGGCTTGGCAGGTGGGTGAAACAATGCAGACTGGACCACTGGGGCTTCATGGAGTGTGTTGTCAGAGCTAGGAACACGTGAAATGGGTAGGGGGAGTTTAGAGCCCCCTATCCTTAAATCCTCTGCCCGCTTCTAATTCAGAGTCATCTGCCTCAACACCCCTATGCCTGAAACCCTAGGAGGCATTGGGATGGGTGACAAGAAGGACACATTAGCATGTGTTAATTAGAATTGACCACAGTGCTTTTCAACCAACGGAAATGTTGTTCTTGCATTTTGCTGCTCTCTTTTCCTGGGGAGCAGGGAAGGCTTTCAGCTGTGTTTGCAGCAGGGCTGGATACAGCCCGGGAATCTGCATCTGAGCCGGGAGGTTCCTGCTGCAGGGCCACCACCAGCTCGTGAATAATAGTGGGTGTGCATCCCAGTCAAGACCAGCAGCTGCCCCAGCAGGCAAGGAGCAGAAGTGTCTTCAAGGGCTCGTGGCACATGTTGCTCTTCCCCTCGTCCTGCCAAAGGAACACCTTGTCAGACAGCTTGGGCACTGGGGGAGGGAGCCAGCCACCAGCTCTTCAGGTGACTTTCCCCAGCAGTGTGTTTGGAAGCCTCAGCCAAACAGGTGTCTGCTTGAGTAAAAGGGAATGAGGGAGCGAGGCACGGCTCTGCCCTGCTGTAATGCCATGGGTTGCCCAGGGAGAATTGTCCAATCTCATCCGTACACGTGAGCACATCTGAAAGGACACCTCCCTGCCGTGCCAGCCTCCTGCTCGGGGCACCAGCAGGGGCTGCCATGGCCCCAACTCCTCTGTCAAGACCAGGGATTTCCTTGCAACGCCCCCAGTTCTATGCTACTGTCACCCTCCTGCCCACACTGTGGCTGTGTCCCAGCCCCATGGTCCTGCTCTGAGGAGGGTGTTCTGATGTCTCAATAAGCAGAGGTGAGGAAACACGGCTCTGCCTTTTCCCCTGACTGCACAGACACATATGAAAACTGGCTGTCCCCTGTCACCAAGCCAGTTGCTTGGTGCCTGGAGATGGAGCTGCCCGGCCACCAAATGTTCACAGCACCTGGGCATCTCTGCAGGCCTCCAGTGTGACATTTCCATTAGCAGCTGGCGGGGGGATGCACATGTCACTTTAATACCTCTCCTCTGCCACAGATCTTGGGCTCTTCCCTTCTCAGTTTAAAGTGGGGCCACCAAGAAGAGAGACTGGGGAGGAGGCAATGGCTTGGATAGGGTGGCATAAGAGTTACACTCTTGACCAGCAAAGGCTGATGTGTGTCTGTGTGTGCACAGGCACTCAGGAAAAGCATATTTTCTCCAGCAAAAGCTGGTTTGCTTATGCTAAGATGGCTTAGTACGGTTTAGTTGACTAGGATTAGCTGCACTAGCAAAAGGCATATTTTTGGTAGTGTCCCTGCATCAGGGATGTAACTCTCTGGAAATGCTACCCCACGCCTTGGTGTGTTAATCAGTGACACTAAATGAGGGGAAACCAGAAGTCTGAGAGCAGGGGTATGCTCAGCCCCCAGAGGGATGTTTCAAGACTCTGCTGTAGCCTTACAGTTTCTCAGAGGACCAGGATTTTTGGCAGGGCAGGAGCATGCACAGAGTTCAGTGCTGGCACATGACTTCAAGTAAGGTCAAAGGAACACGGAGAAAACGTTTCTAGTGTAGCAGTTCCCACTTTGCCAGAGGCAGCTCCATCATCCAAAGCTCTGGCAGCAAGGGAAAGCAGTTCGGATTTTGCTTTCCCTTGCCCTGAGCTGCGCTGCGGGCACATGCCCCTCTTTGTCCCCGGCAGGAGCGGGGCCAGCCCCCGATTTCAGCCCTGTGCCACTCTGGGGTGGGCTCAGGGTGGTCCCCCGTGCCTCCTGCAGCTGCTGGGTGGTGCAGAGCTCCCTGCTCGCCAGCGCTTCGGAGGCAGCGCCGCGGCGATAGCCCGGCGAGCCGGCGCTGCTCGGGTGGGGAAGCGCATCCTGACAGCGCTGCTTAACACTCCTGAAGCACGGCGAGGAAGCGCAGCGCGATCAGACAGCAAACAATGAGCTGATGTACCAACACCTAATGCGCGGCGGCAGGCAGGCAGGCAGCCCTCGGCAGGGGACGCGTCCGAGACATGCGGAGATGCCGAGAGTTTCAAAGCGATCGTGAAAGCGAGTTTCGTCTGCGGTTTTGAAAGAGGAGCATCTGATAAATCGGCCGCAACGTGTCAATGTAATGCTCGGCCCGGCCGTGGCTCCCCAGGCGCTGGAGGGAGATGCGTGTCCGTGGTGCCCGATTGCGCCTCGGAGCTGCGAGGCTCCAGCTGGGAAGTGTCAACACGGTGGCAGCTCCCGCTGCGAGACCCTCCCTGTCGCTGGAGCAGGTGACACGCTGGCACGGCAGACGTCGAGGGGGCTGTGCCGGCAGTGGGAGCATCCTCTCCCGCATATGGCTGTGTCACTCCGGGGACAGCCTTGTGAATGAGCTGCCCAGAGCAGTGGCAGGTGGTAAGAATTTCCCGGGTGACCGTGTGGACCTAATCTAATTAGACGGTTTAGGAAGACTCCCTTTAGGAAAAGGGAGAAGTGAGAAAGGTTTAGAGAGGGCACATTTGAAAGGCAGTGAGAGAAGCTGTTGCTAAGTGGATCATGTCCAAAGGAGGATGAATACGAGCTTTCCTTGCCTGGCTTGGAACTGGGAGATTGGGAAGATGGGACCTCTTTAAACGGGAGCTCACACCACAGGCTGGGCAGGAAGGGTTGCTGAGTGCAGGGAATGGGTTGTGGCAGATCTTGGCCTCGAGGCAGAGGAGTTTGCATAAGGCATTAATTTCCAGGGATCTGTGCAGGGCAGATGGCTGGGTTCCTGGCATGCCAGACTTGCACCATGCCTGCATGGTAGGTTAGGACCCGTTTTCTCTGAAATCCATTTATTGCAAATGTCTTGCTCCCCAAAACCACTATTTTGTCACTGTCTCTTTCCTCAGAGAAAGCGTGCTTCAGGTGTCAGCAGCAGGCAGAGTACTGGAGGTATTTGAGGTTAACAGGAAGCTCTGGCAGCAGGAGCTGCTGGGTGGGATGAGTAGGAAGGCAGGGAAAGCAGGGACTGGCTCCCACACCTTGGGGATGAGCTGTGTGTCTCCAAGGGGAGCTAAGGAGGAGGTGGAGCACTCCATGCTAGTCTTTCCCACTGGTGGCAAGGTCTCTACATGTCAGGTGAGTTGTGTCTTCTTAGCAGTGTGGCTGAGAGGAGCTCCCCGAGCTCCTTGTGCTCTGCCTTTTATCCGTGCTGCATCCTCTTCCTTTGGTATCTCTGAAACACAGCAGTGCCCCTGCTCCCAGGGAGTGCCAGAGAGCTGCCACAACCACATCCCTGCCCTTTGTCTCTCCTCTCCAGGTGTGAGAGCACAGAGGAATATGATTACGATTACCTCAGCATCAATAAAACCTGGGTCCTCACCCCCAAGGCACAGGAGACTGATGCCACACAGATCCTCAACTCGCTGCTCAAGAACTATGACAACAAGCTGAGGCCTGACATTGGCAGTAAGTGTCCCCTGAACCTCCTTGTGGCCACCCTGGCCATGCCCTGGCCATGTCTTGCATTTTGCATGCTTTTGTTGCCACACTCATCCCAGAAGTTCCCCTTGTCTTCATCCCTCTGCAAATGCTCCTGGCCCTGGCTGATGGTACTGATGGTGTTTTCTTGTCTTTCCAGTCAAGCCCACGTTCATTGATGTGGATATCTACGTGAACAGCATCGGGCCCGTGTCTGTCATCCAGATGGTGAGTGCTGGCGTGGCTGCAGGCTCACAGTGTCCCCCCCCCGGGCCAGGGGCTGGTCCAGAGCTGTGGCAGGTTGTGTCATGCTGGCTAGACGCGGTGTGAAGGTGGTGTTGGCATGAGAGGTCTTCTTTCCCTTGGTGAGAGGTGCTGTGACCTGCTGGGAGCTGGAAAATCCTGAGCACCACCCCTGGTTGGGAACAAGGTCCTCCAGTGCCCTGGGTGAGCCCAGGAGTGGGATGATGCTGCTGCTCTTTGGTCTCTGCTGGCAATGGGTGACAGAAACTTCTGCCTGATGGCTTTGTCCTCTCCTCCCTGGGAAGTGTGTGAGCACTGGGATACCTAGGGCAAGGTGGGACCAGGGCAGTGTGTTCCAGGAGGACTGAGAGAGGCACCTGAGGATGTTTCCATGAAAGTGAAATGTGGTTGTCCAGGCCTGGCCTGTGGTGCTGAGCAAGGGGAAAGCAGGGGAGCCTCTGGTCCAACATCTCCATAGCATAGAACCTTAGAGAGATGCCACCAGGACTGTGATTTCTCCTCATGGTTCAGGAACCAGCAGTACCTAGCTGTACCAAGAGCTGTGAAAACACTTAACAGAGAGACTCTTTGATCCGGAGAGCAACTGTTGACTATTTAATTAAACTTCCATTATTATTATTATTATTATTATTATTATTATTATTTTCCCTTCAAAGTCATCTTTTTCCATTTTCTAGCAAGGAACAAACATGACTGCTGTCAGGTTTTGAAAGACCTCCAGTCCACTGGGCAGTGAGGTGGAGGGGACAAAGGCAAGGTACAGCTGGGACAATTTGGCTTTTCTTGTTTCTCTCAATGCAAAACAGAGCAGGAACAAAACCAGCCCCCTTAAACTGAAAAAAAAAAAAAAAACCTCCCAAGTGATGGACACATTATTTTTAGTTTCCAAAGTACAAAATTTCCAAGGAACAAACCCCTCTGGGGATGGAGGGATGGGGCAGTAGCTGTAGCACCGGTTCCACTCCGAGGAGTATTTTGAAGCAGCCCTTCTGGCCAGCCACCACCGAGGATGTGCCCCCAAGCAGCTCCTGCTCACGAGCCACCAGATGGGCACCCACCAGAGCACTTGCTCTCACGATGAGGGCACCATCAGGAGGCCCAGCAGGGACAGCCTCGAGGCTCAGATTTTCCTTGCATTGCTCCAGTGTGCCAGGTCTCCAGGAGAATCACACAGCCCAAGCTGCCAAGCTGTGTGGATGTCAGCCCTGGCTGCCAGCATGTGCCAGGAGCTCCTGCAGCCCGTGGGGCTGTGTGGCCGTGGGGCAAAAGTGACACAAGAGCAGCAGGGCAGGGGCTGGGTGGGCTCACCCCTCTAGGCACCCCTGTGCCTGCAGGTAGAGCACAAGGGTCACGTTACAGCTGGCTGTTCTACCTGCTTTGCACTGCCCAAAGATGTGCCAAGAAACCCACACAGAACCCAGAGCACTCCTCACCCTTCTCTTTCCCTCTCATCCATTTTCCTCACCCTTTTCCAGCCCTGCTGGAAGCTCTGCTCCCCTCGCTGTCACGGGAGCACTGCAGAACCATGCAGGTGGTAGCAGCAGAGTGGTTTCTAAAATCCAGTCTGCTTCCAGAGTTCATCTTTCCTCCCAAACAGGGATACTGCTGCTAGGCTGGTTTCCTAAGAAACACAGCTTATGCCATGGTGATGGGGATGTGAGAATGTACGTACGTCCATCCCAGTCTTTCAGGATTTTGGATCTGCTGGGTTAACACCAGCCATAAATGGCTGCAGGTACAGGAGCTTCCAGCACATTCAGTATCTCTGGTATTTTGGGGAAAACAAGATGCCAGGCAGTGACAACAGCCACCCCCACCAAGGGGAATAGCTGTTGTGTGAACTCAGCCCTTACTAGAGACCAGGAAATCATGTGGGAGAGCTCAACCCATGTGTTTAGTTCTTCCTAAGAGTCAGCAGAAGCTTTTCCTCTTCATGAATAAGGGCTCTACAAGTGCACAGGACCCCTGGGGTAGCTGGCACTTGGAATTGTCAGCACTGCAGGGCTCTCCTGGGCAAACTGCTGCCCTGGGGCTGATCCACCCATCTGCAGCCTTCCCACCTGAGGAGGTGATTGCTCTTTGTGGGAATGGCACAGCCAGAAACTGCTCAGTGTGGACAATTTTGAGGGGTTTTGTTGCATCAGTCACAACTGACTGTGCTGTCCCTCTGAAGTGCCTTGGTGCTGCCAGTCCAGGGGTCCCTGAGGGGTCCCAGCAGTCTCCTGTGATCTTGAGACACCTCTGTAGGACATCCCAACTCGACTCTCTAGGGATATCTCTCCTTCCTTGTTCCCTTAGGTAACTTCTTAACCTTGAACCTGTGATGCCCTTGAACTTTGAAACCTTTTCCCATGAGATTGAGGTGATATTAAAGGTACTGAGGGCAGCTAGACCCAGGTGTCAAAGCCTCAGATTTCTGCTATCTGTACTCTGAATATTTCCCCCTGCTCATGGGAGAGGCTTCATCCTGCTACGTGGTCTCCTGAAGCAAGAGGAAAGGGCAGTGACAAAGCCACAGTGTCACCTCTAGACTTGGCTTCTTCACCCAGTTGTTTTGTGTTTTGTGTTTGTTTGCTTTTCCATGCTGATGCAGTGAATTAAGTCATTCTGTGGGTCATGCCAGCCCCTGGCAGGCTGGCATCAAACATATGATAGATGGTCTTTGCTGGGGACACGTCATTCCTACTCTGTCCCTGTTGATAGAGCTTCTCCCAGCTTGAGAACCTCTGCCCTCTCCCAGCTGCCAGGCCCATCCCACATGCCTCATCTTGCCTTTTTCCCATACACAACCTGAGGAAATGCACATTTCCAAGGGAAGGGAGCTAGAATTTGTCTCAGAGCTAGATCTCTCTTGAGCCCATGGTGACATTTCACTCTGCCAGAGACAGAGAGGCTTGTGTAGGCTGGAAGGTCCACTGGAGGGGAAATGTCCCATTGATCTCTTTTAGGTGCATTGCCATGACAGCGACTTACGTAAATATTTCTCTCTCACATAGGCTGGGTAGAAGACAAAAAACCAAGTTCTGCTTCTAAGAGATACAGCAGCATTACTGTGGCTGTTAGCTTGGACCACTGTGGCCTATAAATCTGCAGCTGAAGGCTACAGGATAGCCTGACATGCTGCTGGAGTAGAAGGCTCCAACTTCAGCAATCTGGTTTAAATACTGGTCTCCTGTAATCCCCTGCTCTCCCTCAAAGGGTTAATACTCATGGCAGTCTTCATCCTGCTGGTGCTGTCAGGGATTGGAAGCTGGCCCTGTGTAGCCACTGCCCAGCCTCCAAATGATAAATCATGTCAGGATACAAAACTGATTCCGGTCCTTAAAAATGAATAGGTGATTTGAAAATGCCCTGTGCTGGGTGTGAATTCTGCGTCTCTCTCATCAATCACTTGTCATAAATAACATTAACATTCAGGAGCCAGCAGAAGGTGGGCAGGTTTGGAGCGGGAGGAAATGTAAAGTGATTTCCTGATCTCTTTCATACACCAGAATGGCAGTCTTGTCTCCCGTTGAGGTGGCTGAGCAGATTTTATTCTCTCTTCCCTGGGGAAAGGACCCTCTGTGCTCTCCAAGCAAAATGTGGCAGTGACCAGAAACAGAGCTAGAAGATGTTTCAATGATAAGAAGTGGGAGGGGGAAAAGTGGGACCATCAGGTCCCACAGCTCTTTACTCCAATCACTGCATGGACTGGGATTCCCTCCCCAGCCCCAAGAATTTTTGGGTGGGATTGGGGCACTGGGCACTCCTCAGTGTGGTGGGAAGCTGTGTTTGCACCATCAGGGGAAGGATGTCCTGGGCTCTGTCTGCCAGCAGCCCCTGGAGCCAAGTGAGTTCTCAGCCATAGTGCTGCAGCTTCCCAAGCTGTGCTGTGGAGCTAGATGCCCAATTAGATTCCCATTAACACAGTGTTGAGGTGTCCCTGGCTTATCAGAAGCTCAGCCTGATGCAAAGACCCACCTTTGTTCTCCAAGCATGTTTGTGGGAAGAGGTGCCAGGGAGGGCTGTGGCAGCGTGGAGCCAGGGAGGAGACTTGGAGTTCAAATTTTTTGCTGACTGGTTGTTTGCTGGAGGGATTTGCTCCTGGTTTTGTTTTGTAATGGCTTTATTGCTATAGATTATAGCTTTAACTGGTGTCAAGGGCACCTAGAGCTCTGGATCACCTTCCTTTGGGGATACTTAACTCTCAGGAAATGATGCTGTAGAAGTAAAGCAGGTGCCAGCTACTGGGACTGAGCTGGCAGTCCTGAGGATGTCCCTGAAGCGTCCATGGGGGACAGGATGGCTGAGAGGGGGAGAAGTGCTTCTATTCTGAGCTTGGGGGATGGAGCAAGTCTTGCCCAGAGCTTCTCAGATTCCTCCCAGAGGCCAGAGCTGAATGTCCTTTTCTTCCTTTCTTACACAAAACCAGGCATGAGGCTCAAGGAGAGCATGGTCCAGACACTGTGGTACCCTCCTGGCAAAGGTGAATGGAGACTTTTCCATCATCCAGGGACCTGCCTTGGTTACCTGCTTCAGGTGTCTGGCACTGCAGTAAGGGCTAATTTGCTGAGGACTCCTGTGTTTGTCATGTGTGAGGAGTTGTCTTTTTGTGCCAAATTTTATATCAAAACAGAACGACAGCTCCTCTGCTAGTGTTGTTCGCCACTTCCATCTCATTACTTAATGATAATAAAGATGGAAAGAACAAAATTGGCCTCCACCATTCACCAGGGGCCAGATTCTGCTGTCTCGGTAGTGCCTGCGATTTCCAGTGGGGTATCTGAGCTCCTATCTCAATTTTTACAGCTAATTGTTTTCTTATGTCTGCCTGTGAGTGGGGGGCTGGAACCTGAAGAGGGTCATATGTCCAAATAGAAGTGTTGGCTATTCCCCCCTTGCCTCTCTAGGAAGGAGATGCTGCACGCTATTAAATTCATAATGCTCTGCTTGGCTACATTAGTTACCATGCAACACACTCACGA